GTGTGTGGTGTGCGGGTGTGTGGGTGTGTGGGTGTGTGGGTGAGTGGGTGTGTGGGTGTGTGGGTGTGTGGGTGTGTGGGTGTGTGGTGTGTGGGTGTGTGGGTGTGTGGGTGTGTGGGTGTGTGGGTGTGTGGGTGTGTGGGTGTGTGGTTGTGTGGGTGTGTGGGTGTGTGGGTGTGTGGGTGTGTGGGTGTGTGGGTGTGTGGGTGTGTGGGTGTGTGGGTGTGTGGGTGTGTGGGTGTGTGGGTGTGTGGGTGTGTGGGTGTGTGGGTGTGTGGGTGTGTGTGGGTGTGTGGGTGTGTGTGTGTGTGTAAGTGTGTGTGTGTGTGTGTGTCTGTCTGTGTGTGTGTGTGTGTGTGTGTGGGGGCCTTCTGCGGATGCCTTCGTCTCCGCCCTCCTGGCTCATCGCTCGTGCACGTTCGAGAGAGTGCCCGACGGTGGAGCTGGACAGCTGCATGGGGCAGCTTGTGCGGCCCCCCTCTCCAATTCGGTGCCGCCCCCCACCCCCGCCCATCCCTCCCTTGGAGGGGAGCACGTCTCCGCAAGCATCTGCGCAGGGCGCGGCCGCCAGGAATAGGCAACCACAAGTAAGCCCTACCCCCGCATGCCAGATTTCTATGCCAAACACTTGGCAGGGGCTCAGAATTTGAGGCAATGTCTGCAGCCAACGGAACGCCTGATACCCTGGCGTCGATTGGACCCGCAGGTGCGAGGCGGAAACTCATCCAGAATCCATGAAAACCATCGCCTGGAGGATTGAACCACAGGGACCGGCCCCCCCGCGGTGGTCAGGGAAAAAAAAACCCACCTCGGAATTGTGGGCAGGGCCCGCACGTGGTCGCAGGAGGCCGCTACGCCCCGGGCCCTACGCGCGCTTCCGCCCCGGGACGGAGCGGAGCGGCTCTGGGCACCTGCGCACCGGCTTCCTGGCCTGGCGACGGGTCGGCAAGAGATCGGGGGGGCCTCTCGGGACACACTGTCCGCTCTGGTCGGGTCGGCCCACAAGCTCCACCGTGCCCCCGAGCTTCTCAGCCGAGGCTCCCACCCGAGCTCTGCGAGGCACGACTCTGGCCTCCCTTGCTCCACGGGTTCTTGCCCCCGTCCTCGAGCAGCGCGCGGGACAGCCTCGGGGCCGCGCGCAGGGCGCACAGCGCCAGGAAGAGCGCCGCGGCCGCCAGCACGAGGTGCGGGTAGCGGTAGCTCAAGTGCGCGTCGAAGAGCGAAAGCTGCAGCAGGAAGCCGGCCAGCCGGCGGAGCGGGCACCGGCCCATGGCCTGCTCGGCGGAGCCCGCCGCGAGCGGCACCGCGAGCGCCTCGAGGAAATCCAGCGGCGAGGGCGCGGAGACGTCGTAGTTCAGCGCCCGGAGCACCTGGTACTCCATCGCCAGGATCTCTTCGAAGGGGACCTGCTGCCGGCACAGGTGCAGGAGCAGGTCCCGCATGGGGGTGCTGAAGCACGGGTCGTCCTTGACAGCGCAGGCCTTCAGGACCGTGCAGATCACGGCCATCAAGACCTTCCGCATCCGCTCCATCTGCATGGGCTCGCCCTGCAGGGCGCAGTATCTGTCCAGGAGGAGCACTGTGGAGAAAAACACCGAGTCGTGGAAGCGCATGACGTCGCACGCCTGCACCAGCCAGCCGAGAACCGACTCGCGGTCAGCGCTGCGCAAGCGCTCGTTGAGCACGGAAACGTCGGGGACGAAGCGCTGCGACTCCCGGTGGCAAGATCGCAGGACGCTGTCCACCTGACTTACCCACACGCGACTCGGAAAACAACTTCCTTAATAGCGCTTGGCTGCACGGGACCCCAGCCTTCTGAACAACATCGGGGACCAACACCCGCCGACTCTCACTGGCCCCTCTGGCCTCCATGCCATAGCTGGTACACTTACTGAAGTCCTGGCGCACATTCTGTGGGCTCTACCTGCTGGAAGGCTGCTCCGCAGGGGCCCCGTGGTGCTGCCCAGGATTCTCACTCCAAAGTGGTCCCGCCGAGAGCTCGCTGCCAAGATCGCTGCTCCCGCTGAGGCCCCGTGGGGATTATTGTCAGAGGTCCACCCGCAGAATTGCTGAGTTACCAATCATTATCCAAGGGACGCGTCTGCGATCCACTTACAGAAGCCCTGTAGCATTTATACATTTCTCCCATCTACCCAAATGAACACCGGTCTTAAATAGTTCCTGAGACTCGTCTTGCTTGTGGAATCCCAAATCGGAAGACTCGTCAAAATGCTGCTCTCGCCCACGTCTGCTGGTTGCACCGGTCAAAAATATATCGCTCTCGCTGGTGCTGCAAGATAGCTTGTGGGGTTCAGGCATTGCCCCTCCCACAAAAGTGCTACTCAAATCATAGAAGGGGGGGCGAACTTCATAACAACCCATGTTCCCCAAAAGAGGCCGCCCTCAAGAGAGCGTCAACTTATAACCCGACCGCCTTAAAATACACAACAGGACTCTTCTCCAGGGCAGTCGGTTAGCAAGGGTGACTTTTTGAAGGAAATCACCCAACTCGACCCTTCCCGAAACCCCTCTGGCATGGGGTGGGTCCATGAAAGCATGACACACCCTGTCGACTCGGGCGCAGTCCCCAAGCATGCGACGGTTCGCGAAGGGGTGGGTGATTGACAACGACGACGACGATGATGACGACGACGACAATGCCGATGACGATGACAACGACGACGTCGACGACGACGAGGACAATGACGACGACGCTGACGACGGCGACGACGACGACAAAATGTGTCATCACAGATTCCAGACGCTTCTTGGCTCAATGTACGGGGGTGCGTCAACACCGCGGGCGGGCGGGGGGGCGGGCCCCGCCGACTCCCTGGCATCGTTTCCGCGGCAGGGGCGGGGTGGATTGAAACCTTGCAACCAGCGGTCCCCTCCAAAAGAAGCCCAGCGAGGGTCCGCCGTAGCCGACGACGGTAGCCGACGACGGTCGCCGACGGCGGTAGCTGACGGCAACGACGACGACGACGACGGACGACGACAACGACGACGATGAGGACGACGACGACGACGACGACGACGACGACGACGAACGACGACACGCGACGCTGCGGATACCCACCATGGGAGGGCGGTGTTGTGAGGGCCCGCCTTCGTCGACGACAACGACGACAATGACGACAATGACGATGACGACGACGGTGAGGACGACGACGACAACGACGGCGACGCGGGGGGGTTGCTGCGAGTGTCCGCCGTAGTCGACGACGACGGCTGCGACGGCGACGGTAACGGCGACGACGACGACGGCGACTGAAAACAACGACCACAACGGCGACGAAAAGACGGCGACGACGACGACGGTAGCCGACGACGACGACGACGACGACAGCTGACGACGCGGACGATGTTGACGACGACTGCACCACAGAGTGCACCACATAGATTGCGCCACATAGCTTGCCCCACTTAGACTGCACCACATGGCTTGCGAAACACCGACTGCGCCACTTAGACTGCACCGCGTAGCTTGCACGAGTGCACGACATTCACTGTACCACAAAAAGTGTTCGACATATATTCTCCTTTTTAAAACGAGAATAGACTCTACCCAACCACCCCCGGACATATCCGTTCCCCTGTCGGGGATGTAAATCATATATGATTCTGGCCACTCGGCCATATTAAATATAAAATCATATCATCCCAGCCAGGCCGGGTTCCCCCCCCTGAGGTTCCCTTGTAAAAAACACTATGCGGTGACATTTTTTGTTCTAACATAACACGTTTTCGCGAATCCCTTGCAACAAAAACGACGAAGTGCGCACGCGCGCGTCGTCGCGCGCGCATGCCAAAATCCTTCAAAAACCTTGGTGCCGGAAGGATTTCGCAATCGAACTTCCAAAAACATACAAAACACATGGTTTCGCAATACTGATTTGCTAAAAAAGTTTCCGCGCGAGCTCTTGCGAAATCTTAAGACAACCATAGGTTTTTCAAGATTTTCATAAAATGCTACCAAATTGGCTTCGCGCGCGCATGTCGAAATCTGTGTGAGAGAGCGTGATCCACCGCCGCTTTACTGTGGAAAATTGCCAACCTTTTCCTCCGGAGCCCGGGGGTCGCCCCCCCCCCCCCCCTCCGAAAATCCCCCCCCCCTCCCTGCTGGAACCCCTCCCCCCCCCCCCCCCCCCCCCCGCCCCCTCCCCCGGCAAAACCCCCCCCTCCCCTAACCCCTCCCCCCCCCCCCCCCTCCCGCTCGAAAACCGGGGGGGGTCACTAACGGTTCGAACCCCCCCCCCCCCCCCCCCCCCCCCCCCCCCCCTCCCCCCCCCCCCCCCCCCCCCCCCCTACTCACCGCCAGCAAACGACTCCCGGTCCCCACCACCGTCCGCATCACATCCCCCACTGGTGTTCCCAGCACCACTGTCCTCACCACCGCTGTCCCCACTGGTTCCACCACCGCCCCTACTGTCCCCACCAGTGGCCCCACCACTGTCGCACTGTCCCCGCTGTCCCCAGAACTGTTCCCACCACGGTTCCACTCTCCCCACTGTCTCCACGGCCCCAACCACTGCCCGACTATCCCCACTGTCCCCACTGTCCCACTGACTCCTCCGCTGTCCCACTGAGCTGTCCCACTGTTCCCACCACTGTCCCCACTGTCCCCACCACTGTCCCCACTGTACCTCTGTCCCATTGTCCCACCGCCGTCCTCGCCACCGCCTTCACCACTGTCCCCACCACCATTGTACCCTCCACTGTCCCACTGTTTCCACCTCATTCCCATTGTCCCCACACCACTGTCCCCACCACCACCGTCACCACCACTGTCCACTGTCCCCCCCTGTTCCCACCATTGTCCCCACCACTGTCCCCACCACTACCGTCCCCACCACTGTCCCACTGTCCCACTGTCCCCACCACTGTCCCGCTGTCCCCTCACCACTGTCCCCACCAACACCGTCCCCACCACTGTCCGCACCCCCACTCGGTTTTCGAGGGGGGGGGGGGAACCGGTAGTGACCCCCCCCGGTTTTCCGGATCCGGAGGGGGGGGGGGGGAGGGGTTCGAACCGGTAGTGACCCCCCCCCCTTTTCATGATGAGCACGGGGGGGGGGGGGGGGAGGGGTTCGAACCGGTAGTGACCCCCCCCGGTTTTCTGGAGTGTGGGGGGGGGGGAGGGGTTCGAACCGGTAGTGGCCCCCCCCGGTTTTCCGCCAGCAGCGGTACAACACGCTCTTTCAAATCTGTCGAACGCCCTTGCGCGTGTGCCGTCGCGAGAGTCCTCTGCAAAAAAAGGGACGAAGTGCAGACGCGCGCGTCGTCGCGGGCGTATGCCGAAAACCTTCCAAACCCATCGGTTTCGGAAGGATTTCAAAATCGTGCGTCCAAAAAACCTACAAAAACCTGAGGTTTCGCAACACGGATTTTCAACAAAAGCGTGCGCGCGCGCGTTCTTGCGTCGTCGTCGTCGTCGTCGCCGTCCTCCCTCCTCCCGCGTCGTCGTCGTCGCCTACGTCGTCCTCTGTCTGTTCTCGTGTTCGTCGTCGTCGTCCTCTTTGGCGTCGTGGTCGTTTCCGTCGTCGTTGTCGCCGTGGTCGTCCGTCCTCCTCTTCCCACGTCGTCGTCGTCGTCGTCCGTCGTCGGCGTCCCGTCGTCGGTTCTATTTCGTCACCGTCGTCGTCGTCGTTGTCGTCGTCGTCGTCTTCCCTCCTCCCTCGTCGTTGTCGTCGTCGGCGTCGCCGTCCTTCCTCCTTCGTCGTCGTTCGCGTCGTCGCCGTCCTCCCTCCTCCCTCGCCGTTGTCGCCGTTGTCGTCGTTGTCGCCGTTGTCGCCGTCGTCGTCCTTCCTCCTCCCTCGTCGTCGCCTTCGTTGGCGTCGTCGTCGTCGTCTTCGTCGTCGTCGGCGTCGGCGTCGTTGTCGTCGTCAAAAGCGTCGGAGACGTCGTCGGTGTCGTCGTCGTCGTTGTCGTCGGTGTCGTCGTAGTCGGTCTTCAGAGGTTTTGCAAACCAAGTTGCGGGTGAGAGGGTGGGATGTTTGCGCGAGCAGTGGAGAGGACAGCTTCAAGTTGAGCACGTGATTGATTCTCCTTCCTCAAAGGAGAATAGACTCTACCCCCACCCCCCCCGGACATATCAGCTCCCCCTGGGATAATATGATCTGGGATAATATGATTTCATATATTTTCTGCACGTTCGTCCATCCCATCCCAGGCAGGCCGGGTTCCCCCCCCCTGAGGTTCTCTGTTTTCGTTTTTTTTGGGGGGGAAAAACACTACGCGGTGGCACCATTTGTTTTAGCATAGCACTGTTCCACGAATCCCTTGCAAAAACACGACGAAATGCACACGCGCGCGTCGTCGCGCGCGCATGCCGAAATCCTTCAAAAATCTGCGGTGCCGGAAGGATTGCGCAATCGAGTTTCCAAAACAAACATACAAACATACATGGTTTCGCAACACTGATTTGCTAAAAAAGCTTCCGCGCGAGCTCTTGCGAAATCTTAAGAAAACCATACGTTGTTCAAGATTTTCACAAAATGCTACCAAACGGGCTTCGCGCGCGCATGTCGAAATCTGTCGAACGCCCTTGCGCGTGTGCCGTCGCGAGAATCCTCTGCAAAAAAAGGGACGAAGTGCAGACGCGCGCGTCGTCGCGGGCGTACGCCGAACACCTTCAAAATCCATCGGTTTCGGAAGGAATTCAAAATCGTGCGTCCAAAAAAACCTACAAAAACCTAAGGTCTCGCAACACGGATTTTCAACAAAAGCGTGCGCGCGCGCTCTTGCGTCGTCGTCGTCGTCATCGCCGTCCCCCCTCCTCCCGCGTCGTCGTCGTCGCCTGCGTCGTCCTCTGTCTTTTCTCATGTTCGTCGTCGTCGTCCTCTTTGGCGTCGTGGTCGTTTCCGTCGTCGTTGTCGCCGTGGTCGTTCTTCCTCTTCCTCCCACGCCGTCGTCGTCGTCCGTCGTCTGCGTCTCGTCGTCATCCCTCCTATTTCGTCGCCGTCGTCGTCGTCGTCGTCGTCGTTGTCGTCGTCGTCTTCCCTCCTTCTTCCCTCCTCCCTCGTCGTTGCCGTCGTCGGCGTCGCCGTCCTTCCTCCTTCGTCGTCGTTCGCGTCGTCGCCGTCCTCCCTCCTCCCTCGTCGTTGTCGTCGTTGTCGCCGTCGTCGTCCTCCCTCCTTCCTCGTTGTCTTCGTTGGCGACGTCGTCGTCGTCTTCGTCGTCGTCGTCGCGTCGGCGTCGTTGTCGTCTTCGTCGTCGTCGACGTCGGCGTCGTCGTCGTCGCCGCCGTCGTCGTCGTCGTCGTCGTCGTCGGCGTCGTTGACGTCGTCGTCGTCGGTGTCGTCGTTATCGTCGTCGTCGGCGTCGTCATCGTCGTCGTCGTTGTCATCGTCGTCGTCGTCGGCGTCGGTGTCGTCGTCGTCGTCGTCGTCGTCGTCGTCGTCGGTGTCGTCGTCGTCGTCGTCGTCGTTGTCGGCGTCGTCGAAGTCGTTGGAGGCGTCGTCGGTGTCGTCGTAGTCGTTGTCGGCGGCGTCGTCATCGTCGTTGTCGCTGTCGTCGTCGGCGTCGCTGTTTTTGCCAAGTGCCATGTGGTACCCACCGTCACGGTCTTAAGAGATTTTGCAAACCAAGTTGCGGGTGGGTGGGTGGGATGTTTGCGCGAGCAGTGGAGTGGACAACTCACTGCGAACAGAAATTAGCTGCACTACATATATTGCACCACATATGTTGCACAACATACATTACACAATCACGCTTTCCACCACATAGATTGCACAACACATATGACTAGATGCACTCTGTTTGGGGCTCGCGCTGGCTAACACATGTTTTGCATAATTATGCATGTGCCGCATACCTCGCTTTTGAGTGTTTTCGAAAAGCCTGAAATTCTACAGGCGGTCGAAGCCTTCTGAAAGTCAGTCTTTGGAACGCTCCTGCACGACTGTCCTCACCAACTCTTTGAGACGAGCCCAGCTGTGACGACGACCAAGTGCCCCGAAAATCGAATCAAGAGATCGCGTGGAGGAGCGAGCCACCAATTCGTCCAGAACCACGTCGATATCCTCGTCGGGGTTCCCGCTACATCGCCCGCGGCGGCCCTCGTACAACCTCGTGGCGTTCGACACGGCGCGCCTGCCCGGTGACGCCGCTCGCGGCGACGCCGCACAGCTGTGGCTGGCGCCTGCATTGTCGGCAAGCCTCGCAGGCGGCCGGAGTGCCGGGCCGCCACCGCTCCCCGAGGCTGGGTCCGCCGCTGCGCACGCCACTGCTGTGGCTGTGCAGTGTGAGTCATCTGGTGGCCCTGCGCGCATGGCGCCCTCGGCCACCCACTCCGGGCGGGCGGCGGGTACCGCTGCCTCTGAGGCGTCGGCAGGCGCTTCGCATGCCGGCGAGGGGCCTCGTCGGGGCGCGCTGTCCGCCGTCGCCGCGTGGGCGGCGGCGAAGCTGCCTGGGGCCACGGCATGCTGCTGGGCCCGCTGGCATAAAGGCTGCCGCCGCTGCTGCTGCTGGCGCTGCTGCTGCGGCTGGCGCTGCCGCAGCGGCGGCTGCGGAGGGCGTCGCCACAGCGGCAGCTGCTGCTGCCGCTGCGCCGGCTGCTGCGGCTGCGCGGCGCAAGCCGCTTGACGCGCGCGGCCTGGGGTGGGGGCGCTGGCTACGGTCGCCGTCCGCGCTGCGGCATTGAGCCGTTGCGCATCCCGCGACGCCCTACTGTGCAGCGGCAAAGCAGCCGCTGGAGCAGCCGTCTTGCCAGGATCCCCGCGCGGCGCCGTGGTGGCCGTTCGAGCGGCTCCTAGCAGGCTGTCTTTCCGCGGCTCAGCGCGCGGGCGCGGTGCTAGCGGCTCTGGGCTCCTCGTCACCGCGGCGCTGAGGGCTCGGGGCCGCGCCTGCGCCTGGGAGTCAGGACGACTACAAGACAGCCACGCCCGAACCCTAGGCCTGCGGAGCGAAAATCTAATCATGCCGAAGGGCCGATACATATTCGGCCACGGGGCCTCGGATCGGATCTGCGGAGCGCAGGCGAACGTTGCGCGACTTTCGGCGGCAACTCACTAGAGCCTCCCATGCCATCTTGTCGGCCCGTGCGACTCGACGCTCATCGACGCTAGTCGACGCTAAATCGACGCTACTCAACGGCAATCGGCGCGAATCGGCTCCCCATGAACTGATACCGAATGAAACCATCATGTCAGTGCTGTTTTTGTTCCGCGCTGTTGGTCTTGTTGTGACAAAGTTCGAGGCGGCCGGAGGTTCTGAACTGGTTGGGACCCCAGACAGATCGGCCAGGCGGGGGGATGAGGCCAAATCAATTCAAAATCGGCACCAGGAACCCTCCCAAGGTCTATCGCGAGGAGTTTTCCTCCCGATATTGTTTTTTACCATCCTGGTGCCCGAAATCGGCCGAAGACCGCAAAACCCCTCCCGAACCCAGAACCTCGAACCTGCCCGCCCTTCCTGCTGGCCGGAGCCAATGCTCGGCTACTCGCAAAAGGGCGACCCTGGGCAAGACTGACCTTTCGTGCGCGAACTACAGGGGAGGCCAGGAGGCCAAATGCAAGCGCGTAAGAAGCCATCCTCGCATCGCGCTGAGCAATCGGGGGGGGCCTGGTAAGCCCGCACCAAAAGTCACTCCGGCGAAGGGCTTCTCAGAAGGAAGCTGCTTCTTAGAAGGCGCCGGCTTTACATCTACAGATAAGGCCCGCGCCTTCTGAGAAGCAGGGGAGCTTCTAAGAAGCCCTCCCCCCTCCCCCCACCTCCCTCTTCGTGTGGCTGATCACTCTTACGCGTAGCCGAAATGCTGGGACCCTCAGCTGGCTCCAGTGGCCGAGCGCCTTCGCCCTGCTCTGCTGGGCGCCCCTCGTGGGAGGCGCGGCCCCGCCGCGCGAGGGAGCGCAGGCGGCAGCGCGCGGGGCAGGTCCGCCAGCCCCCCCCCCAACGGGTCACCAGGGCGCACTGCGCCCGATCCAAGCGATCCACAACAGCAGATAAATCGATTGGGGATAGATTGTTAAAGAGATCGATCTATTTCGGGCACCTCTCGCCGACTCCGACTAGACCTGAGCGCTCCCCAGGCTGCCCCAGGCACTCCCAAGCGCTCCAAGACGCTCCCTAGCGCTCCGCTGCCGTGGGCGGCTTGGCTGCCACGGAGTTGCACGTCCACGGCTCAGCAGGCCTTCGCGCTGCTGCTTCAGGATAGGGTGGCCCATGGTTCCAAAGGGACAGGCCGTGTTCCATCCCTTGCCCGGCAACAACCCCCTGGGCATAATTACGTGTTTTACGGCACCAGCTCTTCCATTGCAAACCGCTTTCGCTTTCGGATTGCCTCTCTCACAAAGGGTCTAGACCACGCGTTGGCAGGGGGTTGGAGCGCTCATGATGGCCACAGATGCCCCCGATTGTTTCCTAAATGGCACTGTATGACTCAATGTTGCCTTGAGCCTGCCTCTATCAAGACCCCAAGAAAGCCCCAATATAGCTATGATAGGGCCCTTGAGACTCCCGAGAATACCAGGGCTGCCGGGACCTCAAGATGACCCCGAGATGGCCCAAGAGGGCTCCAAGAGAGAGTTCCTGAGAGGCGCCAAAATACCCCAACAGTGCCTGAAGGGATTCCTGGGAGATTCCTGAGATGGCCCCGAGAAGCAACTTGTCAGGCCCCTGCAGGGGCCCCGCTGAAAAATAACAGCCCAGCGAAGGGCAGAGCTCTATGAGGCAGCGAGTAGCACAGGGTGCCCGCTCTCCATGTACTGCGCCGCGGTGCAGGGCGCATAAGTGATTACATACCAGACCACCCCAACCGAACCCGAAGACCCACATTTCGGGTTCGGAGGGGTACGGATTCCACTTGTGTTTTCCCAATGTTTCCCGACGCCCCCCCCCACCGGGAATGGAGGGCAAATTGGGGCCTCCGGGTTGTGCTGGGGTGCATTGGTGGGTGGTGAATAAGGAGCCTGTGGACCAAGCAGACGCTGAATGAGCCTCCTGCGGGCACGACGCGCGTGAGGGGAACGCAGGATTGGGCGGACCCCCCGCGCGACCGCGCCCGCGAAGGCAGCAGGCAGAGCTCCCTGCGGGGCACGATCCGAGGGGTGTGTCGAAATGGGCGGCGGGACGCCATACGAGCCCGGCCCACTGGTGTGGCAGGTGAAGCCCCTGGCGTGGCACGATCGGCGCGGGGTGTGCCGAAATCGAGGGGGGGGGGGATATGCGACCCCTGTCTCTGGGGAGGTAACAGTGGAACGGGCACCATCCGCCTGAGGAGTGTTCCGACTTGGCCGGGGTCACCACAGTTCAGCAGCACAACAGTGTCAGATGAAAACAAAACGCCGTCCAGCAAAGCGGAACGCCCCATCAGACTAGCTGGACAAGTCCGTCGAAGCAAGCCGAACCGACGGCTAGTACATCCCCGCATTGAGGATCATCCGAGCGCGCGGCCCAATGCCCAAATCGGATGGAATCGACCCGACCAGCGAATCGGAACTCGAAGAAAGACCTCAGGCCCCGGGCACGATGGGGCAGCTGCATGCGGCAGTGGCCGCCAGGCCTCTTGGACGCAAAGTTGCTGATGTCCCCCAGGGGCATCCGGCTAACACTCGCCATTCCCCCGGCAACCCTGCGGACCTCGGCTGGCCGAAAGCCGAAGGGGAAGCCCTGATGGAGGCGCAGGTCGCAGGAAACGACGACGCCACGTTGCGGTCAGAGGCTGAGGCTGCGAAGCCCGAACTTCTATACACTGGGGCCGGATCGGAGAGATGCGCTGTGAGGATGCAGTGCCCTGGGACACCCACATTGGGGCCAAAGTCGGAAGCCCATGGCCCATGGCTAGGATAGGCCGAGAGTCAAGGATGCAGGGGCACTCTTAGAAAGTTGCTCATCATTATGATGCGGCTTCACCGTATCGTCGCGATGATCCAATACCCCGCGCACCCCTTAAAGATGGCTTTCATGAGAGAAGCAACGATACTTAGTGGGAACCGTCTCAGGGGGGAAACATCGCCCTGGAAGCGGCGACGCATCGCTCACCGATCGGCGATATGCCCCCAATTGCAAGTCCGCACGCTCCTGGGCGGGGTGTGCTGTCGGGCCCCTGTCGGCGATGAATTGGCGACTGGGGGTCGATGTGTTTCCCCCTGAGCCCATCACCCCTGCGGTCGGGAACTCAAACTTAGCGTGTCGGTCCGCTGGTTCTGGCCCACCACGCTTCGGCGCGACGTGCTAACCACCTCCCCCCCCCCGGGGGTCAGCGCCCCGAGCCTTTCCCGGCCTCCCACCCCGCGAAGCGGAGGGGCACGCCATCAGCCTGCAGGGCATACAACGTGCCGCTGCTGAGCAGAAGCTCCTGACCGTAACGCTGCCCCGGATGAGCATCGTTTAACCGACTCCAATCCCCACGCGCGTGGCCTGGGCCCTACTGGCCGACTTACCCCCCTAGATGGGGGATATAGGTTGCTCCCTTCGGGATTCGAAGGGTCTATCCTCAACTGGGGTGCTGAGATGATGGGAATCTGAGTAGGCCCAGAGATCCGATGTCGTGATTTTTTCAATATGGGGTCTCTGGAAGTCTCGACCCATTCCCCAGGGTCGTTTTTGTTCATCCTGAATCGTGTTTTGACGATCCCGAGGCCCGGTCAGGGCCCCCAGAGGCCAAAATTAGCGACAACAACTCCTCGATGTGTTTTCTCTATTTTCTGACCCGAGGGGGTCTGGGGATGGGGAGCGGGATCAGGGCCGGTGGAACGATGCTGCCCCTGAGCTTTCAGCTAGCCAGGGGTGACTGCCGCCCCCTCCTTGAGCAGGGACCGACCGTCCCGGCATTCCTATAGTCCTACCACGAAATGTTCTTAGAACCCAAACATGTTCTAAGAACGCAAACAAGATTCTTAGAACATAAGCCCAACGTGATCAAACAAGACAGACTCCGCCATAAATGTTCTGAGAACAGTTCGTGGAAGCCACAAGAGGTTCTTAGAACATTGTTTCGTATGGCTATAGGCGAGCCAAGACGCTTCGCCACTGCTTGACCCCCCCGCGTGCCGCCCGCTCGCGGCCCGGCGTGCAGCGGGCGGGGGCCGCACGCGCTCGAGCCCGCGGCGGCTCCCAGGGGGCCCCGCCCCCACGAGGCCGCCCCCCCCCCCCCCCCCTCGGGCGGCGGCGGGCGCGCGGGGCCTCCTCCTCCTCCTCCTCGCACTGCGCCCCTCCTCACCACTCGCCGTCTCTGCCGCTCCACCTCCACCCCACATCAAGGTTCGAGCAGCATGCGTTCTGCCCAGCGGCCTGGTGAGATCCAACTTGGCGGTCAAACTGGTCAGGATGCGACAAACAAATGCTGGCCCGGCGCTGCGCTACGCCACGATAACAGATACACAGGCGCTCTCCGACGAATTGTGCATGCACCTTCAGGGAGGGCGGCGATGTATAAAGTCGCTGGCTCCCCCTGGTAATTTGTACACCGCCAGCGTCCCCTGAGGCCAAGTAACAATCCATTGGAGGGTGTCTTCGTATACATATATATATATATGGTGGAGGAGGTCGGCGTGTCGCACGAGGCGGCCTGATGAGGAAGAAGAAGGCGACAAAGACGGGCGCGGACCAGGCAGCTCTCAGCCCAGGGCGGTGTCTGCTCCAGGCGGCCTCCAGTGCAGCCGCGAAATCTGGCCACACGCGGCTCGGATCAGAGGCATCGCTCGCGCTGTCCCTGGCAGCAGCACCATCGCCATCAACACCGCGGGGATCGTTCACCTTTGAACGATCGGCCGTTTTCGAAACGTCGGATCGTTCAACATCGACCGATTCTGGGTCGCCAGCGGCGTTCAACGTTGAACGCCGGCGGCGGGGGCGCTGGTCGACACGACGCGAACCTAACCTAGGCCTGTCACTGTTCCTCCCGCCCTTGACGATTTTCCCCGTGGGTCGATGTTACTGGACAGATGGGTAGGACGGTCTCGGGCAGCAGTAGCATCCATCACATGCAGCGGTAGTGCCGATGGTACGATGAAGTTCCGAAGCCATATGGGCTCACAGAGGAGAGCGGACAGAGGGAAGGGTGGAGAAGGGATGAGCGATGAGCAGGAGGACGAGGACGAGGAGATGGAGGGGGGAATGAGGATCAGAGGGGCGTGAGGATGAGGGAGGCGAGGAACGAGGACAAGGGAGGATGAGAAGGAGAACGAGGAGGAGGAGGAGGAGGAGGAGGAAAGGCGAAGGAGTCTCAGGGAGCAGGAGAGGAAAGCAGAGCGTCGAGCCACGTCCGTACCCAACTCACCTGTGCACCCTGGTACGCGGTGCTGGGAGGAAGACATGGGATTTGTTGAAAACCTTCGCTTTTGCGAAGTGACCTATGCGACCTCCAGACGACAAAGCCAGCAGCTGTCCGTCGGGTCCGAAGCGTTGACGATGCCGATGCCTGGAGGAGATGTAGAAGAATGATAAAGTGGATGGAGGAGGGAGGAGGATTGAGACCGAGGAGGGAGAACGAAGGACGAGGGCAGATCATCACAAGACGCGCTGTAGACTTAACGGGTACCAGCATGCTGTATTTAGGGCTGAAATAAAAAGTCAGAATCAAACGGTTGGGCGACAGCAGGCAACATCCCTGAAACAGGCGGTGCGACCCAAAACTATATGCCATGCCGTTCGCCGAACCCCTTTGGGAGGGAGATAGTGACTCCCCCATACGCGCCAGCGGTCGTGGTGGATTTCGCCCACGGAGGAGATACGGTCAGGAACATGTTGTTTGGCGTGTCGCGGCGGCGGCCCCACCAACATGCTGTGCCGTGCAAGCGGGTAGCGCGTTGCTCCGCTCCGCGGGCACGGAACCTGGGAAACGGTCGGGACGCCAACGCCTGGGGACCAGGGGCGTGGTTAGCGTGTCGCGCCGAAACATGTTGGGCCAGCACCGGCGGAGCGACATGCTGAACCAAAAACCCCTGGCCATATGTATCCAGCGTCTCCGCTGGTCGGTTTTGTTGGCCATAGCGTCAGATTGAGGGGGCTGAGTGGTCATTCCCTGTCCCTGGGTGCGTGGCTGAAGTGGGGTTCCGCGGTGCGGATTGTTGTTCTATTGCGCTGCGTTGCGTTGTTGCTGTCGCCGTCCCACTCGCGACCCACCCGCGACCCGCCCGCGACGCACCCGCGACCCACCCCCCGACCCTCCCCGCGATCCATCCGCGACCCGCCCGCGACCCACCCCGCGCCCGCCCCCTCACTCTTGTCCGCAACTGCGGGGAGCTAAACATACCTCGAAAGCGGGGTTGATAGCGGAAGGCATCGCATCGCAGCGTCGTCATCGCGCGTTGTCGCTAACTCGAGGGCGCGTCGCCAGCATCGCCATCATCACACCCATCGCACTTGCCGGCAGGTGCTTCTTTCCCCCCAAACACCCCCCGATCTCCTCATCACCCGAGGGGTGGTCGTACAGGCACCTCGAGATGGGACTCCAGTGCCACTTCTGTGCCGTCTCGTCTGCCGGCGGCCCTTGGCTCGAGCGCTCCGCGCGGGCGCGGCATCCGCCCTGGGCGGGCGCTCCTCCGCCCGCGAGAGCGGGGCGGCACGCGCGGGGCGGTGGCGGCAGGAGGAGGCCCGCCGTCGCTCGAACGTCCGCTCCCCGTGCCTGTTGTTCGACCTCGCGCGGTTTGCCCCCTTCGTAGGAGGATCCGAATCTGCTCCTCGAGGGGCCTCGCCGGTACAAAAAGTGTACGCGTCCGAGCGAGGCCAAGGAGGAGGGACGGCTTCCGCTCAGCGATCCCCCCCTCGGGCCCGACCGTTCCCGCGCGTCTCCAGCGTGGAGGACCCCAAAGCGATGTCACCGCTAGTGGCGACCTGTTTGCCACGCTCGTTGGACGCCGCGGGGACAAGAGGGGGATGTGGGGAGGGAGGAGAGGAGAGGGGAGGGCGGAGGAGGATGAGAGAGGAGAAGTGAGTAGGGAGAAGGGCATGGAGATTGTCTCCCAAATGGAATAGCATGAAACTTTGCTCGCTTCGCCAGCACCGACCCGAACGCCACGGAGGCTCTGCACAGGAATCCCACATGTGCGCGAAAATGAACAAGAGGGGGCGGAGAAGCGGAGGATCATCAGATGGCCCTGGCAAGTGAAAGCGGCAACAGGTGTTGCGTTGAATCACCTGGCGGCCCAACGCAGTTAGCACTAAATCTAGTATAATACCTATACGACCGCCCTGCGGACGATAAGGAGGTTGGGGGGGATTGAGATCAAATGCCCACCCTGACTGACCTCCAGCCTGTCACCTTGATCACATCTCTCTCTTTCTCTGTCTCTCTCTCTCTCTCTGTCTCTCTCTCTCTCTCTTTCTCGCCCTCTCTGTCTTTCTCTTTCTCTCTCCCTCTCTATCAGAGTCTCCCTCCACCACAATGATGATCGCGATGACGATGATATCCCACTATCTACCTATCCGTCGACCGACCTATCGGTGACTCTCACTGTCAATCGCACTATCGACCTCGAAAGAAAAATGAGAAAGTCCGCCGCAGGCGCCGACAAACGATTTGTTGGCGGACAACCACAGGACAACCATCGGCAAAACCACCAGACAACCATCGGGACAATCACAAGACAACCACGAGACAACCAAGAGATGGATTGGATCAGATAACATGGATTGGATTGGCCCGCCGCAGGTGCAGAAACAAATGAATTGATGGATTGGGTTGGGTGGATTGGATTGGGTGGGATAAGTTCAGATGAGACAATATGGGTTGGATAAGATAAGATGTATTGTATTGGACAAGATGGAATGGATAAGATAAGCTGCATTGGATAAGAAAGCCCGCTGCAGGCGCCGACAAAAAGAAATTGATGGTTTGGTTTGGGTGGATTGGATTGGATGGGAAAGGATGGATGCGATAAGATAAGATGGGTTGGATTGGAAGAAAATGATTGGATAAGATAAGATGGATTGGATTGGCCCGCCACAGGCGCAGAAACAAATTAATTGATGGATTGGGTTGGGTGGATTGGATTGGGTGGGGTAAGATAAGATGGGACAATATGGGTTGGAAAAGATAAGATGGATTGACTTGGACAAGATGGATTGGAGAAGATAAGCTGGATTGGATAAGAAAGCCCGCCGCAGGCGCCGAAACAAATGAATTATGAAATTAACGACAAGCGTTAGCGCCGGGACGCCTGGGACACCCGGGACACCCGGGACACCGACCGGCCCAACTGGGACACCTCCCGGCCACCGGCGGACGGGAAACGGACTTTCGCTCCTACTGACGCCCGGGACACCCGGGACACAGCCCGGCCCAATTGAATTGGGACACCTCCCGGCCACCGGCGGACGGAAACGGACTTTCGCTCCTACTTCGGCCTAGCTACAGGAGGATCACGCGCAACTCCGCCTCGCCCGCACTCACGACACGAACACGAAACCGAAACCGATTTCCAAGTGGGGGGTCTCCGCTTCACTGCGATCTCACCCCCCAACGGGGGACACAACGACGAGGAGCAGGAGGAGAAGGGGTCACGGCACTGTGCGGAGATTCCCTGCGGCCGAAGCGGCCACTAAGATATAGGAACAAAACGCTCAACGGCATCCCATGACAAGGGAGAGGAAACACAGCCAGACGAATGCGAAGACGCAGTGAGCTGGGGTGAGCACCATGATAGGGCACATATTCACTTCCATATCTACCCCACGGTGGCCATGAAGAGAAGCGAAAGGACGGGGCGCAGGCAAGAAACATGGAACGGACGGCAGGTCACAGCCGAAGGCTCCACTGGCGGGGGAGCAAGGAAAGCAAAAAGAAGCGGGTGTTTGCAGGACGTCCGCGGCGCACCGAAGCCACTGGAGGCGTTGCATGCGCGGAGCGGATGGGCGCAGACATCTGAGTGGGCGGGCGCCCCGAACTGGGCCCCGTCACAAAGGCGAAGGAGAAACATGCAAAGACAGGGAGGCACCAGAGGAGGGGAGGGGAGAAATTCGAGAGGCAGGGTCGCCCACCTGGCTCGCATCAGCACGGCCACCCGACAGAACTCAGTTCGCGAGCTGGCGTCGACACGATCATGTCTCTCCATGCTGGCGCCGAGAAGGCAGTCGGATCGACCTGGTGCTGGGGTCGGAAAACTCGTCGGAACTCTCCTGGAAACAGGACTCCGGGAGTCGGTGTCGGCCTTGCAGCTGGTGCAATTGTCGGAGCGCTGGTACAGCACCCGGCGTGGGGAGTTTGGATTGGAAGCAGAGCTAGTGTCGGAAGTGTCGTCGGAGCTGTCGTCTGTCGAGGCTGTGGTGGATGAGCTTGGCTGCGTTCGCGATCTTGTCAGGCTTGCCAAGACACGATATCTGTATTTCGATAATTCCTAGTTGTGGCCTGAGCATGCCGCGGCTCATACCGTTATTGCAAGCACCCCCAGTGCCAGCATTGCCAGTACGGTGCGCACACGACGTGACTTATAGATCGAGTAGGGGCGTAATGGCATGGACGGGCCGCGCGATTGTCGGAACTGGAGGCGCACACGCAGAGTCGGAAACGAAGTCGGGGCTGGCACAGGAGCTGAAGCTGCGGGTGGAACCACGACAGAGGTCGGCAAAGGAGCTGGCACCGAAGCTGATAGCGGAGCCACCTCGCCTGTCGACTCTGGCGCATCACCGGAGCTGAAGTCGGAACGGCCGTCGGAGAAGGAGGGAGGATAGGAGTAGGGAGGAGGGGAGGGGGAGAGGAGGAGGGAGCGGCGAGGGGAGAGCACGGAGAGGAAGGGGAAGAGGAGGAGGAGGAGGAGGAGGAGGAGGAGGAGGAGGAGGAGGAGGAGGAGGAGGAGGAGGAGGAGGAGGAGGAGCGAGGAGGAGGAGCGAGGGCCGCCGATGTCTGCAACGCCACTCCCCCCGCCCCCCCGAAGGCTGGGAAGGCCCTCCCGGCCTGGAAGCCGCCGAAGTCCCCGGTGCCGGGCTGCGGCGCGCACCCGCCCTGGAAGAGCCCCGCCAGCTGCTGGTTGGGCTGCTGCTGCTGCTGGGGGGGGGGGCGGGCGCCGGCTCCGACGGCGTGATGTTTGGTTTGTGTTGTGCGTGATTCGCTTTTGTCCGACGGCTCGGGCAGGACGACGGGGGCGAACAGCCCAGGAGTGACGAGCGGATTTCCCACCACCACTACCGTAGTTAGGGGCGGGGGAGGAGGAGAGGAGAGGAAGGAGGAGGAGGAGGAGGAGGAGGAGGAGGAGGAGGAGGAGGAGGAGGACCTCCCCACCATCCCTTCTCTCCCGTATTACCTATGGTGGTGGCGGTGGCGGGAAATCCGCCCACCAAGGGAGGACCAATACGTGCATCCAAGGGCGCCGATGGTCCAAGCAAGTCTTCGGCGGGGCCTCTGGGCTATGCTGCTGCTGGGCGGGCGCCGGCTCTGACGGCGTGTTTTGTTGTTGTTGTTGCTGCTGTTGTTGCTGCTGTTGTTGTCGCTGTGGCTGTTGCTGTTGCTGTTGCTGCTGCTGCTGTTGTTGCTGCTGCTGCTGTTGCTGCTGCTGCTGTTGATGCTGCTGTTGTTGCTGGTGTTGCTGCTGCTGCTGTTGTTGTTGTTGTTGGAAGTGTTGCTGGTGTTGCTGTTGTTGCCGTTGTTGTTGTTGTTGGTGCTGCTGTTGTTGTTGTTGTTGTTGTTGCTGTTGGTGTTGTTGTTGCTGTTGTTGCTGTTGTGGTTGGTGTTGGTGATGCTGTTGTTGTGTTTTGTTGTTGATGGCGTTGTTGTTGTTCGCTCGTTCGTTCCTTCCTTCCTTCCTTCCTTCGTTCTTTTGTTTTGTCGGCCGAAAGTGTGTTGTGTGCCGTGCTGGTGGGTTTTCCCGACTCCGGCCTATGGGGCCCGTGGCCCAGAACCCCTCGAGTCACGATCAAAATGCAACGGGAGGGTTGTCGCTCATGCTCGGCCTCTGGGGGCCCTCACCGGGCCTCGGGACCGTCAGAAGACGACTCGGGATGAGAAACCCGTCCCGGGGAATGGGTCGAGACCTCCAGGGGTCCACGTTATGACAAACTCATGACGTCGGAGGTCTGGGTATCGGGGCCCAGGGCCATCAGAAGAGCCTGCGGCGCGAACCAATGCCCCCGCGGAGAGGGGTGCGGGAGCCCCGGGGCCCTGGACTGACAAGACAAGCCGTCGGATGTCTGGTGGAGGAAAGCTACTAAACTCGGCCAGGAACCAGCTGAACTCGGCCCATTGAACTCGGCCGCTGTGAACTCGGCCCGCTGAACTCGGCCCAGATGAACTCGGCCCACTGGAAAGTAAACTCGGCCCTTTGAACTCGACCAGCGCTCCGGTTGCAAGGTGAGCCCTGGATGCACTCGGCCGCAGAAACTCGGCAGGAGAAGCTCGGCCCAAGAACAACTCGGCCACACTGAACTCGGCCAGAGAAACCCTGCCCGAGAAAAAAACCAAGAGGAGAAACTCGGCCACACTGAGCATCTTGGCCATCTTGGTGGCCACGGAGGGTTGATTTTTGGGCTAGGAGGGCCGAACAGGTGTTGGGGAGTTCGGCCCCCCACCCTCCTGCTCGCCCTTGTCTCACTGGATGTTGGACTCAAGGCGAGGGGAAAAGGGGGAGGAACGACAAGCAATCATCACATCCGCCTTTTTACCCCCAGCGTTGGTTGAAGAGGCGCGACCATGTCTGCAGAAAGTGTCGGCCCAGTGGGGGGCAGAAGCATTGCCGTGGGGCATCGCGGGGACTTGGAAGGAAGATGGGGGATTGGTGAGAGGAGGGGTATAGGGGTCAGGTGACTTCCACACTGTTTCTAGTCACGCCGATGTTGTGTCTGCGCTGGCCTAGCTTACTGCGGGATCTGTTCTAAGGGAAGACGTTGCCTTCAGGGCAAGAGGTGCGCGTGGCTACATACCGTTTTTTTTAGTCACGCAAGCGTCTTGCCCAAGCACAGCCATCTCGAGGGAGACACGGAGTGGGCACGGTGAACCTGAACAGAACAAATGAGGACTACAACATTTTTTGTAATCTCACAATCTTTGCGTCTGCGCTGGCCCAACTTAGGTGTTGCTTTTCATCCGGAATGGTTGCATTAGGGCCAAAAAGGTGCGTGAGTACAACACGCGTTTCAGCCACCCAAAATTTGAGCATTGTCTGCTGTTCGACTTCGATCATTGCGCTGTAAGTTTGGGTTAATATTTCATCGTCTCTGCTCTTCTCGTCTCGGCTACGCTCTGATCGTCTCTCCTGATGGTTTTCCGAGCTTACTTCTCTCATGGAGACCTGCGCGCAGCAATGCTGAAATCCAGTCCGCTCGAGGGATAGTGCACGCGCTTCGGCTTGCATGTGCAGGCTGTACTTCTTTGAACAGTGGCTCGCCTGCCTGATGTGTATCGCACGGGCTCGCCTCTGGGGGGCCGTACGCGCGCGAAACGCCATTTGAGGCTCCCGACGGCGATTCCTGATACACTTGGCCAGGCGACACTCGCCGGCCGAACTCGGCCTGATCAACTCCTGCCCGGAAAAACTCGGCCGGACAAGCTCGGCTCGGAAACGTGATTGACCAATGAACCCAGAACGACATATACAAACTGTGAAGCATGGACATTGCTCAAGAAACCAAATTTGGCCGACGGGCAATTGCAATGCTCAACGTAGCGATTCTGATGTACAGTGCCAGGGGCTGTGCAGTGCTGTGCTGTGATGAACTGAGACGCGCCATGCCGCGTTGAAGTGCTGTGCTCTGTTGTATTGTAAATCAGGTCGTCCGTGGCGTCAGAATCCTAATCGAACTGATCTGGACCGAGCTGCCTGAACGCATAACTCAGATCTGGCCGCTATCGAAACGCGCGGAGCGCTCGACCAGCTCGAGCTCAAGATCCGATTCAGTTCGGAAGCGGGACGAACCGAAAGGGCACGAATGTGAACAGTTCTGTGCTCTGTTGCGTCGTGGATCAAATCTTCCCTGGCATCCGAATCCTGACAGAATTGAGCTGGATCTTGAGCTCGAGCTGCCTGGGCACATCGCTCGCCCAGAGCTGCTTACAGTTGAGACCCGATGAAAGGATGTGTTACGCAACAGGGCGAAATGATAAGGGCGAATCCAACACAAGGCGAAATGCATCGAGAAGGGGCGGGCCGAAACGGCGACAACGACAACGACGGCAGACAGCGACGACCGCGATCACGGTTCCACCTCGAAACCACTACGTTGGATTTCCACCTGGGCGGCCTGGACAAGTATGTGAAAGCACGCAGCAACTGGACCAGAGTATTACACATCTGGTGTCGAATTATTCATTTTGTCTGGCATTTGTAGGGCCCCACGCTGGGAGCGCCCAAACGACCATACGTTACGTAGATACCCCCCTCCCCTTGGGTGGCCCACACACGTAAAAGCACATGGCTCCAGCTCGGGATTACCATGTTAGATACCCCCTGGGTGGCCTGGGCACGTGAAAACAAATGGTTCCGGCTCGATGCCACCACGTTAGATCCCCCTCTGGGTGGCCTGGTACATGTTCTGGGTGGCCTGGACGCATGAAAGCACATGGTTCCAGCGAGGGGCACGAGGCAACCATCTTAGATACCCCACCTGGGCGGCCTGAACACGTAAAAAACACGTGGTTCCAGCTCCATGTTGAATACCCCTCTGGGTGGTCTGAGCACGTGAAATCACGTGGCTCCAGCCAGGGGCAAGAGACAGCCATCGTAGATACCACCCTGGGCGGCCTGGACACGTAACAAAACGCGGTTCCAGCTTAGGAGAACCATGTTTAATACCCCACGGGGCGGCCTGGACACACAAATGATACCGGAGAAAAAACCCAATCCGATTTTTGTTAGGGCTATAGGGCTATAGGGCTATTGGGCTATAGGGCTATACGGCTATCGGGCTATCGGGCTATAGGGCTATCGGGCTATAGGGTTATAGGACTGTGACCTATAGGGCCATAGGGCTATAGGGCTATGGGGCTATAGAGCTATATGGGCTATGGGGCTATAGGGATATAAGGCTATTAGGGCTATAGGGATATAAGGCTATAGGGCTACAGGGCTATAGGGCTATACGGCTATAGGGCTATAGGGCTATAGGGTTACTGGGCTATTGGGCTATTGGGCACCCCCGGGCACCCGGGCACCCCCGGGCACCCGGGCACCCCCGGGCACCCGGGCACCCGGGCACCCGGGCCCGGCCACCGAAATCGGCCACCCGGGCACCCCCGGGCCCCCGAGCACCCGGCCCCGGCCACCGAAATCGGCCGCCGACCTCACCTCAGCTTTATATCCGCTAGGACCCCTACAGAAGCAAGCTCTGATTGGGGAAATACGTGGTTACAGCTAGGGACAACCATGTTAGATACCCCACTTGGTGGCCTGGACACGTATAGATTTGTGGTCAAGCTCGGAACCATCATCTTCGATACCCCCTGGGCGGCCTGGACACGTGAACATACGTGGTCCCATCTGGTGACAAAAATGTTAGAACCCCCCCTGGGCGACCTGGGGACGTGAAAACAAGCATCTCGCCTGAGACATACTCTGGATGCTGGCCCCCAGGAGCGGAGAAACCGATAAGACAAAACAAGCGTTTCGCTCGAGACATCCTCAACCAATTATGTAAGACAAGCGTATCCCTTGAGACATCCGCAACAAACGAACGTTCTGCACCCTGTGATGTATCGATCGGGGTTTCAAAAGAAAACAGCATTTCGCCTGGGACGTCCTCGCAATTCAATTCCGCCAGCCCTCTTCGACCTCGTTATTCTCATCGCTGAATATTTCTGCCGGCCCCTCTTCGAACTTGGCCCCGGGGGGCAGGTTTGCCATCAAAAAATCCTGGGCCTACGCCCTCTCAGGGGCATGATCGACCCACGATCCTGGAAAGGAATTCAAACATTCTCAAGACACGCGGTTCGGCGCCAAGAAATTACGATGCTGTAAGATTCGGCCGTGATGCACCGTGCCAAGGACTGTGCTGTGCTGCGCCGAGCTGAAATCACATGTGCCAGGCCACAATGAATTGCGCTGTGCTCTATGGTGTTGTGGATCAGGTCGCCCTTCGCATCC